GTGATTTCCCTATCGCACACGTGATTGCCGTTGTGTGGTTATCTAGCTACTCTCACGGGACTTATGTCATTTTAGATAAGGGTGAAGTCAAACTTTAGAATATTTGATTATAAATCATTTTTAAAATATTTTTCTGTTAAATATGATGACTATATGTATAGATTAGTCATAAAAAGTACTTTAATAAAATCATATATTTGTTACCACTTTTATTTTATACATATTATAATGAAAAATAATGGTCAAAGTTATTTTTTTAAGACCGTGCTCTTATCCAAAACGACAAGTATTATCAATCCGGAGGGAGTAATTTCTTCATAATCAATTAATTTGGTGCCTATAGTTGTTCTATTGCTTGAGAACCATAATAGTTCCTACCAATTTCAACGGTTTTCATAGTTGGGAGATATTTTCTGAAAGGTGTTGAAATTTACATTGTAAGCCCAATAAAGTGAGTGACCAAAAGGTCCAAAAAGGACAGCACCTTTTAAGTAATTTAATATGTTAGTTTGATGAAAGAAAATGACAACACCAGCCTTTTAAGTCTCACATTTCACAGCTAGCTGAAGTACCCATGAAAGTTCTTGTAAGGACTAAGGAAAAAAAAATTAGCAACAAATATAGAACTTCAGTTAAGTATGCATATTCAGAATTTGATTCTGCATATTTTGCATTTTAGTTTGGTCGTCTCCTGGGTTCAGAAAACCATCCGCTGATTGGAAACCGCGCTCTCATTTGATTTTGTCAGCTTTCACATAAGAGTATTGACAAATATTGAAACCCTTAGAAAAATATTGAAAATCAGAATTTTTATTAAAAAAAAGTAAAATTCAGCTTGATTTTCTTTCAAATTTAACCGGTTTCAGAACGTATCGACCGGCTCCCTCGTCCTAACCAATTACAATATATCGTACTCTATTTAATATCTCCACCTTCATCTCAACCTATCACAATTAAACTATTGCTTATTCGATTCCATTTATTTTTTCTAATCTCCACAAAAACGTCAAAATTAAATGCCATATTTTGGATGGAAACATAAAAGAACTCCCATTTCACATCACTCACTAACTAAAAGTGCATGATAGTAATTAAAGTCCAGTCCTTTCCTCGAACGGTATATTAATTTGTTCATTGGAACTTTTCAAGATGACAGGATGCATATGTAAATTAAGCTGCAATAATCCATGCATTGACAGCTAAATCTACGTATCTCTAATCAATAAACCGATAACACTCTCCAAGCTCTCGGGAGCTTAATTAACAGTTGACCTCACACACTCATCATCATAATGCTAATGCATGCTCACCTCACACACACACTCTCTCTCTCTCTAGATAATACTAGCAAGAGTCACGCGCTACGCTGCGTGCGTACGAAAGAATGTTTGAAGCTGTGATATCATAATCAAAACAACGTGTATATAGTTGCAACTTTTAAGCATTATATATCCAAACATTATCTAAAAAAGCATTATGTCAGAAGCATACTTACATATGAATACACATTACAACTATATATCACCAAGATTTAAATATGAATATAATCCGTTTGCTCAGATAATTGTTTGTACAAACATGCTCATTTACAGAAAAATAACAATCACAGAGGACAATGGTGCTTACATAATGTGAGGGTATAGATTAGAGAAGAAACAGTGTGACAAAAGGAAATTATTAGGTGATCAGAGAATTTCAACTTTTTTATCATAGAGATCTTCATCATTAACTAATTGAATCTTTCACATATATATATAGCACTTCACCGCAAATAAAATTTTAGTGCTTAGTTCTGTAAAAACAACAATGCATCACATTACGTACTTGCAACAGTTTAGTACAGGAAGTGATACCTCCTTTGCATAGTGCCACTGAATACTAAGGTAGCCCCTACATAATCATGTCTAAGGGCAGGCATGCTTGGATGTCATCCATATATTGCTACGTGATGAGTATATATGGCAGGTAGAACAAAACACTCATCAAAGAAACCATATTGAAATATCTGTCTTCCTAGAAGGGGGCAAACAGAACATTTAATCAATTAAATAAAAAAAGATTAATGAAATCATATCTTGAAGTCAACTCTATAAGAATATTTTCAAAACAAATAATCAATCTTGAAGGATGGGTCATTAGAAAATTCCAACACCATACAGAGCTGGAAAAAACAAAAGCAGGAATAATGTTTGTATAGAAATAACATCCCACTGCGTCCTTATTAGAACATATGGCATGTCTCATCTAAAATTGTTTGAAGTGCATATAGCTTTATCACACCAATAAATTAAAATAAAAATTTATGATCAAAGAAGAAAAGAGTACCACATAGCTAGAGATATGGAGGCTTGGACCTTTGGGGTGGCACATATGTATTGTCATTCTGTATGGACTAACAAATCAAGCGAGGATGGTACTATGTAGGTTAGAACTTAGAAGTACCTATGGCTTTAATCCTTTCGGGTAAATAGTAGAGTGTCGTTGAAACACCCTGCAAACAACGCTAATCTATGGAATTAATGTTCCATTAAATATTCAATATTAGTAGCTTAGAAATGGTTATAGTGGAAGAAAAGGTGTTAGCTTGTTACAATAGAGCCTGAACTGATTTAAAAATGTAGTTACTGTGGTTTAGTAAATTTCTTACCAATACTGAAATCTTCAACGGAGAGAGATTTTTTCTGCTAGATGTGCAACATACTTTGTGATTACTGTCTTGACTTATAGAGCCAACATCAGCCCACTTTATACATTAAGATATGACTCGTAGAATAATGGAGTCTCCAGATATGAGGATAAAAGACTTGCGCCATGAAATCATATCATTACCTTAGTATTGGCACAATCATCAGTCTATACTGAGTCCTAAAGACCTTTTGGTTTGTGTCTTAGAAAAAGAACTGCACGATCCAAATTTAGGGGTCATATGCCAAGTTGCCAGGTCTACAGATAATTTTTTATGATGTATGCATCACTATTACCAATATAATATTGTCTACAAAGGATATCATCAATGCATGTTTATTTCTACTGTGTGTAAAAATATCGAGCTCAACAAATTCAAAAATAAAATATGATTTGTTGCATTGGGAAGGAAATTGAGGCAAAACCTACTCATAGTATAAACATTATATGCTATCATGAAACAAAAACTAAAAATATGTGATAAGAAATCTGAAGGCCACATATATCACCAAGAGAAGACAATAAGAAAACATTCATACCTCCAAACAGAAGCACAGAAAGGTGGCTTCAGGAAAGTTCCATTGCTGCAAGAAAACTCGCTGACATATTCACCAAATGTTACTCCCTGGTAAACAATGAAGGAATATTGACATTACTACACAATTCACTCATTAGCATCTACTCCTACAGGAAAAGGGCAGCGGAGCCAAGAACATCAAAACTTGTACTCTCCAATAACTTTGTATGTTATGAAGTGCATATCTTGGGAAAGTAAACCATAACTGCCATGTAGTACCATGCCATATACTCATATCTACAATCTTGAATCAGTGTAACTGAGAATAACAAAAAATCAGAATTTTTTCGAAGCATATGTTCTTGTAGACCAAATTTGTTAGGATTCCAGAAAAAATTGGCATGTACATGAACCGATGTACATCAGGATTTCATTATGAAGCTAAGGACCATGTAAGAATCTTTAACCTGTACATCCCTGACAATATTCTGTCATTATTAGTGAGAAGTTATCTACGCTGAAGTTAACTGACATAAAAGAAATATATAGGACATTATAATTAACAAAGTTGCAGGAACAAATGTATTTTGAGAATGAACTTAGATTTGCTTCTAATAATTTTACTGGCGACACCCCAATTATTTATTCCTCTTCTTACAACCAAGACACACAGGAGTCTATTAGCCAAAGATAAATTGAATGGGAGGAAATTAGGCTGCCTACCTAGTCGCTGATGGTGCTTTGGACGATGATGACGAAGGAGCAGTAAACCAGCGCAGCACAGGCCCTCATGCTGGTAATGAATCAACGCTGGCAACTTTTTTTTTTTGAATCGAATGCATGCAACTTGCGGCGGCAGCAAGGCCCAAATCCATGCCGAGGCAAGGGCTGGGATGCAGGACAAACACCATCAGGTCGTATCGATTCCACCATGACTCGCTGACTTTGAACGATGGAAAAGAAGAGGTGCAGAGGAGGAAGGAAGGAAGCACAGCGTGGAGGGGAGGGGGAGCAGCGGAAGCGGTGCACCGGGAGGGGAGGAGGGACGGTGGAGCAGGCGCACCGGGAGGGACGGAGGTAGCGCAACAGGACGGCGCATCCGCCGCCAGGTCGCGCGAGGGGAAGGGAGGAGCGACGCTAGCTAGGGTTTATGTGGGAGCATCGGTTGAGGAGATCTGAGCCGTTCATTTCTGTCTCCCCGATCCTACGGTGATGAAACAGCCGCCACGCTGGGACACGTGTACAGTTGGATCCCTGCCTCACCGAGATCGGATGGCACACGCGAATTTGGGTGTGTGTGTTATTTCACAAAATATGACGGGTTTTTTTTGAAAAAACATATGACGTGGCGTGCCTAATTTCTCAGCGATCCTATGACGTTTAAGTAAACCAATATATGTACTGTCCCGAATGCAGTGTAGGAGGTTTAAGTTGGAGTTCACATCATGCAATGATTTTGCACGAAAAGATCATCATTGATCGATCCTGATTGAACAGGACATGTAACGGTCTAACCGTCACAAGATCGAGCAACACCTAATTAAATTCATGGATATATGTCTGAATGCCTCTCGAGTAATTAAGTGCGTTTCGATCTCACACTCTCTCTAACTGTCACTCACACACACGTTTGTCTTTCAGAGAACAAGTTGCAACAAGCCCTAATCTGCACTTAAATCTGTCATTTTCGTTCGGTTGCAGAGCGACATCCAAGTTGCAGTACTTACCATGCACCTTTAGATATGCCTATAAATTGGATCAGTACTTGATGCAGTAGGCATATGTAGTGGTAGCTGCTTTGATTAATTAGCCAGTTGGGTGTCCAAAATCATATCGAAATTTAGCTTAATTGACACGAGAGAGATCAGAGACAGGCATGCAGATCATGGCAGTAAACACAAGCTTGGAACCAACAAATTGCTTCCTGCTGCTGTCCAAGGTATAGTCGTCACACTATAATTAGTACCAACTTGTTTTGCGTCTTGTAAAAATTTGTCAGAGTTAATATGAAGTCAATCTTTTAAAATTTTAAAAATAAATATATATGCAAAGCTACATGAAATTTATAAAGTTAAGCTAATATATATATTTAGAGTATTTCTTATTCAAGAAACAATAAATTTGAAGTATATGAAAGATGGTGAAATATTGATGCAAATCTGTGTCTCTATTTCAGAACAAGGATCAAACTGAGCTGCGGCGATCGTACTCGGAATACTCGAACACCACCAGAGCGGCGGATCATCTCGTCGCCGGCGCCGGAGTAGTGGCAGTGGCTTCCTCCGGCGGTGCCTCCGGCGGCGGCGGCGGCGGCAGCGGCTCGGACGTGGAGACGACGGTGCGGTGCGCGTGCTGCAGCGTGACGGAGGAGTGCACGGCGGCCTACATCCGCCACATCCGGGCGGCGCACTACGGAGACTGGGTGTGCGGCCTCTGCGCGGAGGCCGTGCGCGAGCGGATGCGCGGCGGCGGCGGCGGCGGCGGCGTGGAGGCGGCGCTGCGGTGGCACATGGAGGTGTGCAGGGACTTCAACTCGACGACGAGGCTGAACCCGAAGCTGTCCCTCGCCGGCTCCATGAGGGACATCGCCAGGAGGAGCTTCAACCGGCGGACGACGGCGTCGACGTCGGCGGCGGCGACGTGCCACGACCAGCTCCGGGCGGCGAAGACGATGGCGAGGACACTCAGCTGCCAGCAAAGGTTCTTAGCGTGATTGTCATTTTATACCCACGGCGCCATGAGTATTAATTTGTACTCCCTCCGTCCCTAAATATTTGACGCCGTTGATTTTTTTAAACATATTTGACTGTTCGTCTTATTCAGTAATTATTTATCATTTTCTTATCATTTGATTCATTGTTAAATATACTTTTACGTTAATATATAGTTTTACATATTTCACATAAATTTTTCAATAAGACGAATGGTCAAACGTGTTTAAAAAAATCAACAGCGTCAAACATTCAGAAAAAAGGGAATAGTATCTTCCCGTACTGTACATTTTGTAATGTTTAGATAGGTCGTATATTATGCATATGCTTGATATAGTTTACTTAATCTGTGCAACCTAGTATAGAACATAGTATAGAATAAGACACTTTCTAGTACTATATATCCACATGTTTGTAGTACCAGGAATATCTTATGGTGTATTATTTCATTTCATTCCTCTTTCAGATATTTACAGGTCATTTAATTAGCTTCTGTAGTAGAGTACATATGTAATGATGATAGGTGCATGATGTTTTGTAAATAAGTGTTTCTGAATCTGTACTCAACTCTTGCCTATGTCTATCTAATAATTGGCGGTTGCTGGGTTACAAACACGCTGTGGTGTGCAAAGTCCATCCAAAAATAAGTTCATTGCATAGCATATACTGGCGGAGAAAAAAAAACTACATACATACATAGGGCTGAATTAATGGGATCTCAAGTAGTTTTAAAAATTGTGGTACTTTTCAAGACTATAGGCTCTGTTCGCTCCAGCATGTTCCCAACCGAAATAGTGCGCACGGAAAACGGAATGGTCCATTAGCGCGTGATTAATTAAGTATTAGTTTTTTTTTTCAAAAATGGATCAATATGAATTTTTAAGCAACTTTCGCATAGAAACTTTTACAAAAAACGCACCGTTTAACAGTTTGAAAAGTGTGCACGTGGAAAACGAGGGAGATGAGTTGGGAAACTTGGGGTAAGAACACAGCCTATGGGCATGTTTAGATTATCTGGTAAAATTTTTCACCTTGTCACATCATATGTTCAGACACATGCATAGGGAATTAAATATAAACGAAAAAATTGATTACACAGATTGCGTGTAAATTGCGAGACGAATCTATTAAGTTTAATTGCTTCATGATTTGACAATGTAGTGTTACAGTAAACATTTGCTAATAACGGATTAATTAGGCTTAACAAATTCTTCTCGTAGATTACAGACGGATTCTATAATTTGTTTTGTTATTATACTACGATTAATACTTTAAATGTGTATGTATATCTGATGTGACACGCCAAAACTTTTCACCCTGGATCTAAACACGACTATAATCAATGGGAATCATGGAGTTAGGATTTAATGGAGCTCAAGCGCGCCTAACTGTCCCATGCTTAATTCTGCCCCTGCGTATATAAATTATGTACGTATATATTATAACATATGCGTATAAACATTTGCATATACATATACAATTATATATACACGAACTCGTAAGGAAATTAATCGCGTGATGAGCCGCGCGCATTAGCGTTTCCATGCTGTCTGGGCCATAGGAGTTAATTACTGGGTGACTGGCCCGCGATGAGGAAGATGGATGGAATAAGTTCACTTCACGTCCCTCAGTTGTATGATGAGTGTGTGTGAGGTCCCCTAACCGCAATACCATAAATGTGTACCCCTGTGCTATATAAAATTGTCCAAAAAAAAGTACGATGACAGTATAGATGCATAGTTTCGCTGACATGGCATCCTAGTCAGCAAAAAATAAAAAAATAAATATGTGGGACCCACATGTACGTGAGAAGGAAGAAATGTGGGGCCCATATGTTAGCATCATTTTTTTTCCTTTCTCTTTTCTTTCTTCTCATTTCTTTTTTCCCTTCTTCTTTCGTTCTTCCTGCAGAGGGGGAGCGGCAGCGGTGGAACACAGTTGGGCTGCAGATGGGCTAAGTTAGTCATGTTTCAATCCTGGCCCAAACAAGCACAACTAGCAGCATATATGAGCAGCAACTGGAAGCACTTGGAAGCATCAAACATTTGGAATCGGTGATGGCAGCGACTTGGGTGGCCGGGCTTGGCACCCTTGTTGATCTTCTCTACCCTTCCTCTTTCTCTACCTGTCTAGAAACTACTATAACCTTCTATTCCGTTTGTATTCCATAATTTCTCCACCATCAATTCCACACCGATCTACCATTGTTTTGTATTGGATACTACCTACTGAGGTTAGAGTGTGGGTTTCTGACAATTTGGTATCAGAGCCTCACGATCCGTGGGATTCACAGTATGGAGGCGTTTGGGGAGCACTTGTATCACTCAGCATTGCAAGAGGGAGGAAAATTTTGGTAGGGAAGATGTTCATCAGAGCAGTGCCCATCACCTGTTCAATGAAATGTCTAGCCGATATGGGGTGTCCGAGGGAGATGTTCTTCACGTCATGAACGAGGAGATGTTAACCAGGGATGAGGCAATCCATTGGTTACTAGAGGACTTTGAGCTGATGGAATCCCAGCGCAGATTTGATGATAAACTTGATCGGTTACTACAAATGTTTGGTGTGAAGGAAGAAAGGAGTGAGGCCTTTGTGAAGAGAGAAGAGGAGTCCTCTGCCAGCATCAGGGCAACCACCACCTTCGACCTTGCCTACTTTAGTGCCCACCAAGTGTTCGACGCCGGGACCAAGCTACGCTACCACCAAGGCAGTGCTCAATGGCACTCCTACTAAACCAGAACGTGTGTTCCCGGGTACCACAAGTTTGTTCGCGCCCTCAATTATCTCAGCTGCTAGGGCAACAACATTGCCTTCGATTGAGACCGAGGAAGCCGAAGGCGACATGACTCAGGTTGAGGAGGAAACAGAAGATACCCTTCATGATCTGTGTGCCAAGGTGGAGCTAAAACAGCGGGCTGATTCACTAGTAAGCCGATGAAACAAAGGTGTGCTGAATCTTCTAATATGGCATGCATTTAGATATGGTCAATTGCCCATGCTAGTGAAGCCATTGCCATGGCCACCGCCTGTTATATGGTGTCAGTGCTTGTTTAGAAGTCTTAATGCTGATCTTGAAGTTCTGGCTAGTTCTGGAAATCTGGGTGCATTACAGATTTTTGTAGAACTAAAGGCACCTCGGCCGCCACCAACTAAAGTAAGTTGCCTTGAATTGCAATTTCGAATTATCAAAGTACTTCCTACTGAGATGAGGGCTATGGACTTGCATTGGGCTGAGCTGAACCCTTGGCCCCCACCCCATGAAACTGAAATCACACACATCCTAGTGAATCAAGGACGAAGTGCAAATTTATGGAGAACAATTTGGATTGTATCAACTGCAGATGGATCAATCTTAGTCACTGCGCTATGTGTGCTGAACTTGAGTCGTGCAATTCATGCTATTGTCCACCTTGGAATTTACGATGTCCTTCAGTATTTAATATGTATGAAATGGCCACAGTTTATCTCAACAAAGACACCTTCCATTGTGGCACAACAAAAGCTACTGCTAGAGACAAATCAAAGGACACTCATCACTAGGATCTCCCCTATAGAAGAGAAATGGGTTGCTGGGCTGAAGGACAAAATAAGATTGGAAGATGTTGATTTCAATTGGAAAATTCTTGGTCTACATGATAAAGAAGGTATAGAATGCATGGGCTGTCAACATGTCCGTTGTTCTCTTTATTGGGCTTATTGATTGAAAGAAGTCAGAGTGCCAACATGTTATATTGAAGTTGGCTAGATATTTGATTTTCATGGAAGAAATTTTAGCAGTCAATTGCCTCACTGGCTACACTGGGCTACTATAATAATGAGGGAAATGAGGGCTTTGCATGTCATGAACCATTAAGTAGGTCTGATACTTGTCAATCTAGTTGTACCTAAGCTCAGCTTGATTAAGAATGCAATGGGAAGGGTGGCTGTTAAGTTGTCTATCAAGGCCATGGTTTATGACGAAAGGACAATGATACTAGAGTCAACAAAGAAGAAAATTGAGACTAATAAGCTGGTGGTTCATTGGAATATCTTTATACTTGTATTCGATCCAGGTAAAGATAATGACACATTGGGGGAGGTAGAACTTTTGGTGCATTGGTTGATGGATCATAACCAGAAGATGAAATTAAGAAGTGTTGCTGGTAATAATCTACAATCACTTGTTGTTTAGAGGGTTGCTAATTATATGCAAGAACTTCAGACACATTGGGATCCTGGTGGCACTGGCAATAATTTGCATCGACTCGAGGACAAGTCGAATATTAAGGAGAGGGGATTGTTAGGAACACAGTTGGGCTGCAGATGGGCTAAGTTAGTCATGTTTCAATCCTGGCCCAAACAAGCACAACTAGCAGCATATATATATGAGCAGCAACAGCAAGCACTTGGAGGCATCAAACATTTGGAATCGGCAAAGGCGGCTTCGGCCACGACGGCGGCGGCTACTTGGGTGGCCGGGCTTGGCACCCTTCTTGATCTTCTTCTCTACCCTTCCTCTTTCTCTACTTGTCTAGAAACTACTATAACCTTCTATTCAGTTTGTATTCTATAATTTCTCCACCATCAATTACACACCGATTCACCAATGTTTTGTATTGGATACTACCTATTGAGGTTAGAGTGTGGGTTCCTGACATGAGAGGCTGGCGCCGACTCCGCACCGCTCGGCCTCGTCGGCGGCGGCTCCCACGCGGAGCAGATGGGCGAGGGGTGCTGGGGGCGTGGCAGCAGGCGAGCGGAAGTCGTCAGCACCCGCCTCCCCCCATCCGCAGCTTAATTGTCAAATCTGACCAATGAACAGCAATTAAGATTTGGCCGGATCTATCGGGACGTCGCAACAGACACTTGCTGCTCGCTACTCTAGGCCCCGTTTGGTAGGGCTCCATACTCCAACTCCTAACTCCAAACTCCTACTCTAGTGGGAGCTAGCTCCAGTTAGAGTTGGACACTCATCAAAAGTGTTTGGCTATATTTTAGCTCCAGATCTGCAAAAAAAAAAGAAAAAGAAAAAAAAACAAAAATCCCAGCCGCCGGCCGTCCCCATCCCTTGCGCGCGCTGCCCTCCGCCGGCCGTCCCCGTCCCCTGCGCGCGCCGCCCACCTCCCCCCGCACTCCGCCGCCCGCCCACCTCCCCCTGCCCTCCGCCGGCCGCGCGCCGCCCTCCGCCCGCCGAGCTTCGTCGCCTCGGTAGTGCACATCCCGGTGGCCGCGCGCGCCGTCCCCCGTCGGTTGCGCGTCGTCGCCGCACGCGCCACCCGCCGCCGGCCTCGTGCCGCCCATCTTCCTCCCGCGTGCTTGCCGCGCCCCGCCGCCGTGGCGCCTGCCATCGCCACCGCCGACGACGCCGCCGCCGACGGTGCCGCCGCCCACCACAGCTGCCGCCAACGCCGCCGCCTGACGCCGACGCCAATGCCGCCTACTGCATCTATTAGGGCTCGGGAGGGAGACGGAGAAGGAGAGAGAACGGGAGGGGGAGGTTGGTACAGGTAGTTCAGTGGCATTTTCATGTAAATACACTAAAATTTTAAAGGGTAGTGGGTCTTTTGGAGTGGAGTGGAGCTGTGGAGCAGCAAAAACCTAGCTCCACCCCC